GGCTTAGCAGGTTTATGGAAAGCGATGGATTGTAAAGAGACACGCTATGGATCGATGATAGAGGAGGCTAGTGCAATTGCCGGTACACTTACTTTTCCCTGGCAACTTCAGCCCTCAAGCGTCCTGGTTTCATTCGGCTTCGAGGGATTGGGGGGTTTGGGGTTCACGAGGGATCATTTTTTGACCTTGCATGGGATCGGCCTGATCCTCAGATCGGGCGTGTCACTCGGTCGGCAATCCGAGTCACACTCGGATTCTCAAGCTCAGAGGCCTAAGCGGGCTGCGACTCAGCCTGCGATCGGGCTCATGAGGGGGCGGTTCCCGCGTGGACATTATTTCCAATCAGGCCGATCTGGTCGAGTTGAAGAAAATCGACCTCAGGTCCCATAGGTCCTTGCAAATTACAGGTCCCTCAGAATTTCAATGGTACGTGGTTCCCCACGAGTATGGAGTCGATGGGAAGAAAGGCATCGTGTTCGATGGCTTTCAATCGGCCATCGACACGTATGAAGCTACACGGCCTGGAACGCAAGCAAGAAGGTGCCATTTAGTTTCGTCCAACTCATCGACCAATATTTCACTGTGATATTTTTAACCGTTACTGTGTCGAAAGGCATGACCTTTTCGAGAAGGTCTCGTAGGGTCTCATCGGAGCTCGTGCGAATCTAATGTTTTCGGTGGGGCGTATAGAAATATGGAGTGTCCTTCGCCTCTGCTACTGCTAACGACCTCTCAATTTCATCATCTCTCACAGTAATCCTGAAAATCATGAAAAAGTCGCACATCAAAGACCAAGTCCGATAGTGAAAGTGCGAGCTCTCACGGATCGACAAAAACGAATAACCACCGATCTCTCAGCTCTTTAAAGCTGTGAGGGGAGGAGGGGGGGGGGGGGGGGGGAGGAAGACCTCCTTGAACGATCAGACCGCATAACATCCCAGCTCTCCGATTGGCTATCACCTTGCAGTGGAACGCACGGAAAGGCAAAGCCTCTGTTCCCTGATACGAGAGTGGCTTCCTCGTTCCCAGTCGGAACGAGGCAGAGACGGACTCGATGAACTCGGACCCGAAATGGCATCTCGTATACAACCACATGCCCTCGACCTTGTACCTTGGACAGTAGCCAGTATCACCAACTCATTCACACGGATGCATGGGAACATGTGACAAACGAAAGGACGTGCCTCGAGGCACGTGCATTGCGAGAGCACGAAGCCCCGAACGGATGCATCGCACGTCCGTCGTCGAGGAAGACGGTGAGGTTACTCCGCGATGCCGGACGCGTTCATATCCTATATGGACAGGTGGAACATTCTCTCGGCCTCCATTGTGTTCTATTGTTGTCGTTCCGAGTGGAGTGAGAGAGGGAACGAAAGATGAACCCAGAAAGAGGGCATTGGAAGGGGAAGTATGATTTCGTCTTCTCGGCACTGGGATTCGCAGTCGGTGAGTCAATTAGGATAAAGTCCATCGAGTGAAACAGGAACTTTAGCATGAAAGTGCCTGTTATGTTTTTTACTTGTAATCGGACTATTGGATTTAATAATAATAATTTGAAAAATCGGATTCCGACTGACTTTTTCTCAAGAGTCAGCAATGCCTCTGAGGAGACCAAAAACTTTTTTATTTTAAATCGGAGATGGTAAGACCACTACTATTTTTTTTGTTGCCTTTTTGGCTGAATTGAGCCAAAATGACCCATCGGAGAAACTAGACTTTCACACCGACCATAAGAAACGAGTCATACGGAACCACCACACGACGACCGAGTCTGGAGAGATTGGAATTTCTCACCCCTTTCCCCTTTCCAGGGCTGGGGAACATCTGGAAGTTCCCCTACCTCTGCTACCTCTACGGAGGAGGTGCATTCCTCCTCCCCTACACCTTCATGCTCTTCTTCGTCGGGATCCCCATGTTCCTCCTTCTCCTTGCCATCGGCCAATTCTCGGCCCTCACTCCCACTAAGTGCTACTCGAACATGGCACCTCTGTTCCTTGGTGAGAAAGAGTTTGTCGTTAATACAAAATATTAAAATTCAGGAACTCCCATATTTCCTTTATCATTTTTATTGCTGCGTCATCCTTCGTGCTCGCGTATGCCGTAGCCGTAAGCTAGTCCTTATTGTATCCAAAGCGTCTTATACGAGGTGGGAGGCGAACATGCAAAATACAGTATATTTCGTCAGTTCGGCTAAGACTTGCCTCCATGAAGAATTTCCATACGCAGATCTCACAGTTGCCAGGGTCCCAAGCGAGTTTCATAATTTTCTTAGTTATGTACAAAATACCCACAATACGAGCATCAACTTTGTCCAGCTATTCTGATAGTAAGGAGGTCGACCAAGTCTTATCTTGATATCCATATTGGTTCAACATGGTGTGTTGATTGGATATCCATAATCATTTTGATCCGAAAAAGGATTTATCAAAAACGGACGAAATCATCAAAAATTAAAATTAAAAATGTTCACAAAATATATTTCGTTATTTTTGCCCTCGTCGTCGAATCATATTTGATTTTTGTGCCGTTTCTTTGGTCGTCTCTCCCCACCATCGCGCCGATGAAACCGACGAGAAGGAATCGGGATCGACTCGTTCCTCGGTTCGATCAAGACCATGCTCGCCTACAACATGATCATCGCCTGGTCTTTGTATTACTTCGGCGTCTCCTTTCAACCGGATCTCCCCTGGACTCACTGCGGGCAGGGCCATAACACCTATAGTGAGTCGAATCGTCTCAGTCTTGCGCGAACCGTGGTAATGGAAAAGAACTTGGCAGACATCGTGTTCAATGCGATACACTTTTTGAATTATAAACTATCATATTGTTCATCGTTATAACAGTGACTTGGAAGTTCTCAACATAAATATAGCTATGGGCTTTCGCGGAGGAAATTTCACTTAACGTTGCCTAACGGTGGATCAAGTACCAAACGGGACTTTAATTGAACTGGAGTATCTCCAGGAAAGGAGCGATATGAATGCATTGAGGTTCCTCCAAATTTGTAGCAACATATTCCAGCTTAATATAATTTTTCTTTTAAACTTTCGCTGATGATAAAGGAACTTAAGTGAAATTCTCCACCTCCATATTAAGCGAATGATCATCTCCTGCCATTAGTTTGATCATGCCGAGACCTTGGGGGGGTTTGAAGCATCAATTAGGTATGTGTTCTTAAAAATTGTCAACTCTACATTATCATGAGTGTAAAAAAATGTACCCTGTTTTTCAATGAACAGGGTGCTACAGTGAGACAGAAAAGCGAATTTGCAGGGGACAGAATGAATCAAACGTGTACTTCAACGGATCGTGCTTCGACGTCGCGACTGCAGAGCGAAAAGGAATTTCCGAGATTTTTCCCGGCGAGAGAATCTCTGGTGAGTCAATATGGCGTCTCCATTCCTTCTCTTGCTCTCCCTCTGTGACCGTCGAGTTCAAGCAGTCATCGAGAGTTTCGACAAGATTAAGCCTCGAATCACTCCAAAGGGCCAAAGAATTCTAAAATCGAGATCTCGCGAATCCTCGGTTTCCCCACAGCATCCGAGGAGTACATGAATCACCGAGTTCTGGGAATCACATCCGGTCTGGAGGACTTGGGAGGTCTCCAGTGGCGACTGGTCGTGTCCTATTTCGCATCCTGGGCCTTGATCTTCCTTTGTCAGTGCAAGGGAATACGAAGCTCAGGCAAGGCAAGGAATCACCACTATTCCTTCCTATCTGGCAGGCCAATGTGTTTCTTTCTCTGCAGTATTTACCTCCGCGGATATAATTTCACCCAGGCAATTTATGCCATCATTCATTGAACTTTCTGGAAAATCTTGGCAAAAATTACTCACGGCTATGGTGATCGACATCGACTTGCAAGACAAGCATTTCTTCTCTTGCCAAACATCAAAATTTCAATATTTAGCATGCAGGCGCTGCATTTACTCAGCTTATCATGTTTCCTCGAATGCCAAGGTTCAAGTAGAAACTCGTGCCACGCACTGAAATTAACCAGCAGCATCTTTCAGGTCGTGTACTTCACGGCCACCTTCCCATACGTCGTCATGCTGGCTCTTCTCGTCCGGGGAGTGACCTTGCCCGGCGCCGTGGACGGCATCCGGTTCTACATGGTCCCTCGATGGGATAAGGTCACGAACATCAAGGTCGAGTTCTCCCTCGCTATTTTCCTCAAGTCTTCGATTGTACTCCAAGAGTACATTTAGAATGGGTTTCACGATCAGATATTGCATGCGAATGGTAGCATCTACAGGACCTCTGGGATATGCCCAATTTTTTTTAATAACGCCATATCATTAAGATATACTCTTCACTTTCAATTTCATATTATTTATAATATTTGCTGCGCTTTCTTGTCAGCGTACCAGTTTGGCTCTTGACAAGAACGCCCTTTTTATATGTTTACGTTGAATGTCGCATGGGGTAAATATTTATATTTTCCATTTCCAAAAAAAATCATGATGGTAAAGGCTACTGTTCATCGAAGACAGCTTTTTTGTTTTCGAGGTGCGAAAATAACTTGGATATTTTTGTTTCCACAGGTTTGGGAGCAAGCTCTGTGCCAGATATTGAATAGCTTAAGTGTCGGAGGTGGCCTCATCACATTGGCCTCGTATAATCGCTTTCATTACAACCTGATCAGGTATGCCCATTTTAATCGAGGTCTTCGTTTCTTAACGGTGTGAAATAGAAATAACATTTATGCAGGTCGAGAGTCCATGGGTCTAGAGTTTCTCCTGAGGACTTCAGAGTTTAGCCAAGCTATTAATGACATCATCACGATGCCTGAGCGGTGAAAAACGGAGTTCGGAGGTTAGGTTGCATGCCATATGGGCAAAAACTGGCAAAAATATTTTTTGTTAAATTGGGAAAGAGGTGGTGCAGTGACGGATTAGTGTCTATCTCTCAGATGAAGCTCCAATTTGCAAGGCCGTTGAACCGGCTCTAGCGGTATGAATGCAAACCGCTGAAAATAGTAATTTTAACAATTCAACCTTTCCTTCATCTCGGTTCTCATTCGCGTCACCTGTCCAATGAACAGTTGGATGCCCCATGAAATCATCGCTAAATGTAATCCTTTGTGAATCCTAAGAGCATTTGGAAACAAAACTCTTATAAGGAATCCTCTAGATATCTAATAATCCTATTGGATTCTATGAGTATCCTATTGGAATCCTATAATATATTTATGTTTCAAAAATCGTTAGGATTCGTATTGATTTTTTCTTAAGGGATGAGAGAAGTCACTATACGAAATTCGAAAAAAGATCACCGCCATATCACACATGCACGATGCACGAATACACGCACAAGAATCCATCGTAAACCCCCACTTTAAGGAACTCCCATGAACGACACAGGCCATAGTCCCTAGCTGTCTCTACGCATCTCGATTAGTCGATGAAGAAAAGGGCGAGTCGGAGTTACCCTCGCATCCCTACATGAATCATTGCAAGGTTCGTGAGGGCATACAGGTTGCCACAATAACACCTCCCACCCCTACAATGACCTTGAAGAGGTTTTACCCCTCCATCCGCGTTTCGTCCGCTGATTTCTTTCGAAGACCCTCGACTCTGAAGAAGTGAGATTTCGATTTTGGCAACGTCACATCGCATGGAAATACCCCGTTACCGAATGCAGAAGGGAATAATTACAGCCGTATCTCAGTTTTCAAACGCGAAACACTGAGCTCCAAAGCATATTGTAGTACAACGAAGAGTATGATTCGGCAAAACTCTTCATGCCATCATATTGCAGAGACACTTGGATCGTGTGCTTGGGAAACAGCTTGACGAGCATTTTTGGAGGTTTCGCCATCTTTTCTACTCTCGGCTTCATGGCGCACCAGTTGGAAGTTCCCGTCGATCAGGTCAGGAACTTTCCTTCCAAGTTAGAGAAACCGAGTCATTAAAATTCGGGTTCGTGAATGGACGGATGAACCATAAAACATTGCGGGGAATTGCAGGTAGCACGAGGCGGGACGAGCCTCGCTTTCATCGCGTATCCCGAACTCATCGCCCAACTCCCGTTCCCAAATCTCTGGGCCATCCTCTTTTTCTTGATGCTCATCACCCTGGGAATCGATTCGGCATTCGGCTCCGTCGAAAATATCTCAAGTCATCTCATGGCGAGTCCATTCGAATTGTTTCTTCTTCGACGGATGTCCTCTTATGGCTGTCCGACATTTTTCGAGCTTCTGCATCGTACAGGTATTATTGAATTGGTTTGAATCAGTCATGTCAGTAGGAGAAAGAGTGAAATTCTCATTCGTCAATCTCCCGACTTTTTTCCTCTATAGAAACTTAGCCGATACGTGTCCACTCAAGGAATAGTCAACTTTGTCAATTTAGGCATGACCATCTCTCAGAGGCGTACTCAGGACGAGGGGGGAAAGGGGGGGGGGGCGTTGTCTGGGGCCAAGCCTGTGTGCGCGCCCCTGCCATCGGTATAGTACGTATCCACTTGGTCAAGAACGTCCACTTAGGCCCACATTCACTGCGTCAAGAAAAAAATTAACCCAGAAACATGAAAAGCACCGAACAAGGTTCTTCAAGTCCGGGATGGATTCTGGGTATTGCCGTCTGATTTGAGCCAGGATGTCCCAGAACGGGGTCTCGGTGTGAAGCCCTCCCCACCGATACTGGGCTAAGTGTGAGGTCAATGTCACATTCAAGAACTAACTGTGGTGTGAAGTGGGTACTGTGAAAGCTGTTTAAATGGGGAAACTTTTTTGTTTGTGACCTCGTTTGAACTTCAGGATGGACACGTACTATACTGATGACAGAGGCATACCCAGGGAGGGGGAGCTCAGGGCGTCGCCAGGGGCTTAGCCCGTGACAACGCCTCCCCCCCCCCGCCCCCTCCTCCTCCCCCCGCCCCCTCCCCCCCCCCCGCCCCCTCCTCCAGCTCTTCGATCTCATCGCAACCACCCCTTCTCGTCCTGCGTACGCTCTTGAGAGATGATCGAGAATAAATTGACTAAGTTGATCGTATTCCTTAATTGGACACGTATTATACTACATATTCGTATTACCCCTAGCCTATGCGGCTAAAGATCTTTCATCCTGGGGCCCGCCCAGTTTAAAATCCCAACTGGAATATTCCAGCTGGACTAAATCTGTAAATTCGGACCATTTCCATCTGGCAAAGAGCTGGAAAATAGTAGGTACCGGTTGTTTCTTAGCTGGAATTTTCCAACTGGAATGCAGCTGGTTTTAATAGCTGTTTCCAGCTGGAAATTTTTCAGTTGGAATTTTATAAAGAGCTGCAGAGCTGCAGAGCTGCAAAGAGCTACAGCTGGAATGTAGCTAACTTTACAGTTGAAAATCAGCTGTTCCTGTAGATGGACCCTCCGACAAAAATAGTCAACAAAAAGATTCGCATTCAGTTAGTGATATAGCAATTAGGAACAAATCTGGAGATGACTACTTTCCAGTTGTTACCCAGTTGGAATGGGTCCGAATTTACAGCTGGAGTCCAGCTGGAAATTACATGTATAGCTGTTTCCAGTCGGGATTTTAAACTGGGTTGTTAGTGACAGTCAGGCATATTTCAGCCTTCCTTAGGAATTCCAGTTTCAGCTATCCCCCTTCGAGGAAAGTCCGATGTCCATCCATAGACCCCAAGATGCCAGACCACGATTTCTTCAAAAAGGTAAATTCCGGGTGGTGAAGCTAAGCGTAGGGTTGGGATGTCTACCTGGCCTCAACCCCACCCCCTTTGCCGATTTTCTGCCTACGCCACTGCTATAGCCCATGGGTTAATCCGGTCCTGGGTGCATTGGAACCACATTTGAACAAATTTGTTGATTTGCCTTGTCTCAGGTCGACCGGTGCCTCGTCTCGAGAGGAGTAATAAGTTCATGTACTTTCGTATATCCGAAAGTTCTGCATCAGACTTTTACGGACGAAAGTTTCGGGATTGAGAGATTCTGCGGAAGAAAGGAGGTGCAACAACTTTGGAGTTCCTTCGTGAAGGTGAACGTAAGTTGCACGCGAGAGAAGCTCTATGGGAAACGGTCGTACTTCGTGCCTCATAAATGGCTAAAGTCATGTTTTGTTTTCTCTCTCTTTCTTTGCACGTGCACCCACGAATGCTAGATGGATTCCAGGCACATGAGTGAGTAAAAGAAAAAGACCGTGTTGTTAGGTTATATTAGGTCATAATTCCTGCATAATTCACAAGTTTGCTCCTACTTGCCCCCCCCCCGGATTCTAGGATTTCTTGGCTTGTTTCGCTACTACTCATGAGGAAAACGTGGGCATTTCTTGGCAGGCATATTGGACCACCTAGCCAAAACCCCTTCGCAGAGAGCAAGGATCGTCTGGGATCACGCTTCCAAAATAAATTAAACAAGACTCTGGAACATATGAACCTCCTGTGAGAGCTTAAATCAGTGGATTCTATCCACTCAACAGTTGACAGCATTGAAGGACCGAAAAGCAGCCAAGGAGGGGTGGACCCCAAGCCATTCTCTCACTCGCCCCTCGAGGAATCCTCATCACAGTTCCTCGAGGAATCCTCATCACAGTTCGCCGTATTCCTGCAATTACGAAAAGGAGAAGGTAAGTTTCGCTCGCTTCACGTTCGTCCTGAATTGAGTTTCATCTTCACGTCTAAAACAGAAGGTGCATCTAATTCACTGCCAACTCTGATCATCGTTGTTATGTGAGAAGAAATTGATATCCTAGCTAGAAATGCTTCTCCAGAATGACAGGCCTTTCGATGCCTCAATAGAAGATATATTTTCCTAAGTTTAAGTATCTAGTGAGTCGATTCGCAGATGATACTTGTTTTGCTCGGGATTCTGACATCCTCTGACGTCCCCATATTTTTCCCTCTAATAACTGTTGAGGCCTCATCCCGTAGGATTCTTCCTCTGCATCCCACTGCGGGATTTTGCTTTCTGTTTTGTTTTCTTTTGTCTTTTTTGCTTCTATAGGAAATCTGCCAGCTTAACACGTGACACAACGTGACACGGTTACCATGGCACATGAAAAAGTTGAAAGACTTTCATGGACGAGTCCACCTATGCCTACTTCGTTTGTTTAGGGTGGTTCGGCTTTTCATTTTTTGTATTTTATCGCGATGCAAGTACAAGTAGCTGAGGACCTGAAAGCCACAGAGTGGCTGACGCATACTAAGGTGATACAAGACCATTGGCACCTTACTTGTGGAAACCCAGGCGTCTTTGCTACATGGAACA